GTTCCTTTTTCTGATGCTAAGCTAGCAAAGCCACCTAACTATGTCGTGGGTAGGTGATCCTGTAACAGTGAGATGCTGTTGATTAGATGTGTGTGCAGTAAAAGTTGGAACTACTGTCCTGGTGGCGTGAAATATACTAAACATGCACCCTTAAATTCTAGCCCCAGGGTGAAAATTTCTCATGGATTCATTAACGTAAGTGGCATTCTGCTGACTCTCTCAGGCTCACGTTCATTGTAGTTACCGTAGTCAGTTTTTTAAGCATAACCAGGTGCATCTTTGCCCCCTCCAGCAGTGGGCCACCTCCCAGGGTGTAGTGGTCTCATCGAGGAGCTGCTCTCTGAGTCCTGGCAGTGCCAGGCAGCCTCCCTCTCTGACACCACAGCTGCCAGGTCTTGTTCCACCTGCCTGCCCACCTCACCAGACTTGGGCAAGGATGAAATAAGATAAGAGTTTTGTAAACCGTGGCATGCCATACAAACACCAGTGTTACTGCTGTGGGGCCAGGCCTGGGAATATGAGAATCCAGCTGCAGCATGGGTGTGGCTGAAAGGGCCAGATGGTGAACATTTGTCACCAAAGCGCAACACTGTTGAGCACCAGTTTACGGGGTATATCCCATGGGACGGAATTACCTCATGGAAGGTTTATAGTTTGATTTTTCTAGCAGAGTTGATCAAAAAAAGGGCATTCATCGTGCTTGCCATGGCTGGATGGAACCCTGGCCCTTTAAAAACCCGCCAAGGTTTTTAAACCTTGCATGCAGTCATCGTGAACACCAGTGGGTGGAATGACATCTGTGGGACGCGACCCATTTCTCTAGGAGTGGTGATGTACAAGGACTCTTAGGGGCACTGGGTGGTTTCCTCTCTGATGGTCTGTGTTACCCAGTGAAGTGGCTGTCAGCAGGTCTCAGGTGAAGCCAGATTCACCCGCGCTAATGGGAGGACCATGGAGACGCCAGTGCTCGGTGTGGCCTTTTGGGTTGTCTGAAGTCTTGCTGTCTACCATAATGTCTGGAGAGAATTGGGTTTACAAAGTGGGATATTGTACTACGCTATGTAGCATCTGGCCCTAGGAGAAGACAGAATTAAGAAGCGTAACTGCAGTCACATAGTGAGGTATAGTAGGAATTTAGACTTCCTAGGCATATAGCTTAGATTAAAATGTTTTCATAAATAAAAATGAAGTGAGGGTCAGTTCCAGTACCAAGTACCACAGGACTCAGTAGCTAGTGGACAAGGCCTAGCCCCTACGGAAGGAACGGGGACACACACATGTAGCTACACGGGGTCTTTACTAGCTTGAGTCCCTTTTTCCAGAATCGACAGCTGAATCTGAATGTAGGTAGAATTTATATGTGAAAGAAAAGGTCGGGAGAATACTCTTACTGCTTAATTATTTATACATTAATTAAAATGTGTATATTAAATGTGTCAGGCACTGCTGGGCATTGAAAAGGTAAAACCAAAACCAATCCCCATCCTCCTGCGGCTACAGTCTAGGAGGGGGACAGGCATTACTCAGATCCTCATGGATGACTGTACGTGCAATGGTGAGATCCGCATGGAGAGGTCCATGTAGCTGGGGGGGCTAAAAACTAGGTTTGGCCTGCTTAGGGAGGACTTCTCTGAGGAAGTGATGAGGGAATTGGAATCAGTATGTAGAAAGTAACAAGGCCAAGAGAGAAATGCCTCTTCCCTATTCTGCTTAATTCGCATTCACTTCACCCAACCGCCTCTTCACTGAAACAGACCTAACACCGGGTGTACAGCCTCTGGAGTGAAGCTGAGCGACTATTGCACTTCAGAGATTAGAGAGTGGGTGGGCTGGCAGGTGTATGTGTGTGCTTGTTACCCAAGACAACCTCGGTGTTTATCCTGTTACAGTACCCCAGGGGACGAAGACTGTAATTATGGCTCTTTTTTCTGACCTATTAGCACCAGAGATATAGCTTACATCATAATACTGCATTGTGTGATGTTTCAGTGCTCACAACTCAAAGGTGATTTCTTTTTTTTTTTTATAATGTATTTTATTGATTTTTTACAGAGAGGAAGGGAGATAGAGAGTTAAAAACATTGATGAGACAGAAACATCGGTCAGCCGCCTCCTGCACACCTCCTACTGGGCATGTGCCCCAACCAAGGTACATGCCCTTGACCCGAATCGAACCTGGGAACTTTCGGTCCGCAGGCCGATGCTCTATCCACTTAGCCAAACCGGTTACGGCACAAAGGTGATTTCTGAAGCACCTTGTTACACTTGGGGACAATTCCTAAATGCTCAGACTTCTTTTTCTCCTTACCTTGGAGTCTTGGGCTCTGCAGCTCACTCATACTTTGTCAGGTTTTTCAGCTGGCAGGGCAGCTCAATTAAATTGAGTGTAGATTCCACTGTAGCGTAGGCCAAGGAACACCCCTACCCGCACCTGCACAAACTTTCTTAATATTTGTAATGGAACTGTTGCCATTAATATTGCTTAAGGGCTAGGGTATTTGCCAAAACCTAGGTATCTTATAGAAGTTTTCTGTCGCTCATCTACAGTAGTGTTACCCAATTATTGAAATCTTTTCCAACTGAAATAAATAAGCTTTTTATCCTCATTTCTGAAATCTGATTCATTAAAAGACCGTGGAGGGGTGGGGGATGATGTAAGTACAATAAGCTTCTTTGTGGCAAGCAATTCCCTAAATGTCTGAGGTCATTAGAAAATTCAAGGCTGCTCCCTATGGTGCATTTAATTTATCCAACATGTTTGAGAGAGGCCGAGATTTTTTTCTAAGTGGTATTTGGTTAAATGGCAAATATTGGAGTTTGGGGAAGGGAAGTCTGGCTTGTAGAAAGATACAAAGGAGATCCAAACTAAAAATTCTACCAATCAGATTTTTATTCATTCAGCAAAATATTGATTAAGCTCTACTGTGTGCCAGGAACAATGTAAGATACACAGGGGCAATATAGTAAATAAATGCCAAATCTCTGCCTTCATAGAGCTTACAGTCTAGTACAGTGATGGCGAACCTTTTGAGCTCGGCGTGTCAGCATTTTGAAAAACCCTAACTTAACTCTGGTGCCGTGTCACATATAGAAATTTTTTGATATTTGCAACCATAGTAAAACAAAGATTTATATGTATTTTATATATTTAAATGCCATTTAACAAAGAAAAATCAACCAAAAAATGAGTTCACGTGTCACCTCTGACATGCATGTCATAGGTTCGCCATCACTGGTCTAGTATAAGAGGACAGACAAACAAATAGAATATATATGGTAGATGGTGATTAAGCCGAGTAAAGGTAGCATGGAGTCCTGGTGAGGGGAGGGTTGCTCTTTTATACGGTGTACTTAGGGACCTCTCCAGGAAGACACTTGACAAAGCAGAAATCTGGGGGGGCGGGGGTGCTGATAAGGCTGCAAGACAAGAATACTTGGAGGGTTTGAGAGCACCAGGCAGGCCAGCGTGGCTGCAATAGAGGGATGGGCGGTGGGGCAGTCGGGTAGGGAATGAGAGAAGAGCAGGTCATGCAGGGTCTACATGCTGATGTAAGGACTGGCTTTGTTCTGAGTGCCATGGGAATCCACTGGAAGGTGTTGAGCAGAAGCGTGATCGCCTGGCAGGAGCAGGACTGCAGTAAAGGTATGAGGTTCTCTTTCAACACCACTTCCCTTTATCTACTTCCTACTTGTGTGCCCTTACCAAGTAGTCATCTTCTAGGCTCTGGGGGTACAAGATGAACGTGGTATGGAGGGGGAGGAAGGGCACTTCCATCTAAACAGCAAGCTCACATTACAGTCCATTGAAATTGTGCTAGTGAAAAGTGGATACGGTAAAAGGAGGTGTTTATTCTGTGGAAAATATCTATATAAAATGTACCTCAGGGAGAAATAAAAAAAGGTTAATTATCAAAAAGTAAGGAACCAGCCCTGGCTGGTTTGGCTCAGTGGATGGAGCATCGGCCTGCGGACTGAAGGGTCCCGGGTTTGATTCCGGCCAAGAGCATGTACCTTGGTTGCGGGCACATCCCCAGTCGGGGGTATGCAGGAGGCAGCTGATTGATGTTTCTCTCTCATCGATGTTTCTAACTCTCTATCCCTCTCCCTTCCTCTCTGTAAAAAATCAATAAAATATATTAAAAAAAAAAAAAAAGTAAGGAACCAAACTGTTATCGGTGGGGTGTCCTCCATGTCCCCACTGGTTGCCAGTGGAAATGGGCTTCTTGTAATGTAACAGGAAAAGGAATTTTCTAAGACTCACATGGGAGAATGAGTGATTCTTACTGGCGTGGAATCAAACCCCTGAGTTTCCAAGGTCCCATCTCCCTCTATCCCGCCAAGAAAAACGTCCATTTTGTCTGCAGCAGAGCTAGGATTAAAGCCAGTGGCCAGCATTTCCACTTCATATCTGCACAGACCAATCCAGCATCAGGCTGCTTCGCTGTACTCCCAGTGGCAGTCCACTGCGTGCGGGTCTGCATGGCTAGGGCCACATGGCTATGGAGGGAACACGGGGACGTGCAGGGAAGCAGGAGCGGAGCGAAGGAAACGAGGAATAAGAGAGAATTCCTTTCGGGAGTTTAACCTTAATATTTTGTGCACTTACAGTGATTTCACCCTCTAGTCAATGATCCTGTTCTTAGGTTTGACTGACAGGCAGGCATCTTTCCTGCATCACCCCGACTTTATTGTGTATGTGTCCATCTTCCCCTCCCCCCAGTGGTCTGCAGCGAATGGAACGGTGGTCCCCTGGAGAGTGTGAAATTGCAGCTTCCTGGCGAAGCGCCCAGATGGCCATGCTTATAATATCTGGTCTCCCTTTTGCTCCTTTCCTCTTATTAGCTAGTGACAAGAGTAACTACACTGTCCCCATGATCTCGAAGTTTAAGGGCATAGGTACCTTCATACCAATACAAACAGAAGACAGCCTCCTTTGACATATAGTGGTGGCGTCTTGTGCTCAACTGTCCACACAATCAGTGAATAACTCACAAAAAGTATTTGAGCTCGAGCGTCTGGATAAGGCACTTTGTGTTTAATTCTATGCGTTTCTTCAGAATTAATCGAGGTCCGCGGTCGTCTGGTGATCTGAAGCTGTGCTGACTGCAGCTTTAGCGGGTTGACCTAGGAAACCGTCAGAGTGCCACCGTCCTGAGTAGACTCCTTGCTGTGCTCTGCCCACCTGTCCACGTGCATTCTGACTTCTCAGTAAACTTCCCACAGCATGACCAGTGGGGACGACCTGGGTGGCCTTTGTGTCCATGGCCACAGCCTAGGTACCCACCTGTGTCATACAAAGAGGAGAGGGAAAAACACCATCAGAGTGAAGTCCAGCGGTTACCATGGAAATTAAAACTCCTGGCAACATTCCAACTCCTGGATATGAAAACATCGAATAAAAACCTGGTGAGGGGAACAAACTATCAGATGCTCCTGTAGTCAGGAGGACTCCCAGGACTGATGACAGCAAATCAAGTAAGGTTAGCTGAAGTTCTGAGAAGAGTGTTATTTTAACATTGTGCTAACTCAAGGAGATGAACTGGTTTAGATTTTAACTCTGAAATAATACAAATAAAAGAGAAGGATAGAGAAGTGGAAACAAAAAGGAAGATAGATCCTAAAACGTTTATAGCAAAGGGTGAAAAGCCACACTTAAGCCCCACCATTGGAGTAACGACACAATAGATGCTTTTAAAAACAGATCTCTTCCCTGAGCTGTCCCCTTACCCCTGAGAAAAGAGTCAGACCTGGTTCAATCGGTTTAATCATCCAATCCCCATTCCTGCCTCGTTTGGAACTTCTTTAACCTTTTACTAGTAAAAGGAACAGGATGGGTTAACATTTGTTATCCTGCCAGGCTGCTGGAAAGGGCAGAACGGGAAACCAAGCATCCAGGGAGAAGCAGGGCTCATGGGATTGGTGAACTGTATCAAAATGAAAAGAGCTCAGAACTTGTAAGCTTGCTGTTTCAGTGTTCAGAACAAAGCTTTAAATGAAAGTTCTAGAACTGTGGTACTTGTATCCACAGACTATATTCTTTCTTTTTGTTTTGTTAATCCCTTTTTTTTTCTTTCTTTTTGTTTTGTTAATCCTCACACAAGGATATTCCTCCATTGATTCTGGGAGAGTGGAAAAGAGGGAAAGACAGAGAGAAACATCGATTGGCTGCCTCCCAAATGCCCCCGACCAGGGCCCGGGCCAGGGAGGAGCCTGCAACCAAGGTACATGCCCTTGACTGGAATTGAACCTGGGACCCTTTGGTCCACAGGCCAACGCTCCATCCACTGAGCCAAACCAGCCAGGGCCACAAACTATATTTCTTAGAAACAAAGCCGAAGGCAGAATATCCCAGACTTAGTGTCCGTGCTAATTCCCATTGCTGGGAGATGGTCCCAGAGGGGAAGGACTTTCAAGAGCGACCGGCCCTCCTTACCTGGCATGGTGCCCCCACAGGCACAGCGAGCAGTTTTCTGGCCTCCACTGGAGCAGAACGTGCAGCAGTGAAACACGCCCTGGTGTGAATGGTGCCTTTTCCTCACGGTCACAGTGAATGGTGAGCCCTTCAGTGTTCAGACCAAGAGCAAAGAACAGCACCTTATGTATGAGTCAACAGGGATGTGCTGAGCATCCATGTGCTAAATGGAGTGCAAGTCACAGGGCCTGCCCTTAGAGGGAAACACTCGGGGACAAGAGCTAGCTGGGTGCTCAGCTGGGTGGGCCACATACAAAGGCAGTGACAGCCGGGAGTCTGTGCTGCCCTCCTAACACCTAGACCACTTGACACACTGGTAAACCCTGCCTGTGCTTCCGTGTCACTGCCTCGGCCTCTGGCTTCTCCATTCTCGAGGAATCTCGGGTAATTAGTGGAGCGCCACAACCACAGGCCCGGACATCCTGTGGTTCTTTCTCCAGTTTCTCAGCCTCACAGACTGAGCTACCTCCTTCCCTTCCACCCCTCCATCCTGGACATACTTGTGTACCCACCCATTTATTCTGGGACAATGAAGAGATTTGCAAGGGAGAAAGGTTAAGAGTGTGGTTAATAATTCTCAAGTTAGAAACTCCTACCTGCCCCCCTTCCCTTTCCTTCAAGGATAACTTCCATTCTCCAGTTTCTAGCCCATGTTAAGCAATGTTGCTGTGTGCCTACCCCTATGTGAACCACGCAGTTGGAAAGTACCAAGTCGAGAGTCTGGCACCTTCTAGCCTTTCAGATGTTAAGTCTCTCTGCCTTTAAAGAATTTACAATCTATTTTAAAAATAACTTGGAGTTTTAAAAAATGGGGTCAAATTCTGATTTTGCTCTGCAGGTACGGTATGCTTTGACACATTTGGTGTCTCAGTCTAATCCAGTGGTTCTCAACCTGTGGGTCGCGACCCCTTTGGGGGTCGAACAACCCTTTCACAGGGGTCGCCTAAGACCATTGGAAAACACATATATAATTACATATTGTTTTTGTGATTAATCACTATGCTTTAATTATGTTCAATTTGTAACAATGAAATTGGGGGTCACCACAACATGAGGAACTGTATTAAAGGGTCGTGGCATTAGGAAGGTTGAGAACCACTGGTCTAATCAGATGATCTCCATACCTAAAAATGGTTTGGAGGAAAAATGAAATAAATGTATGCAAAAACACCTAACCCACTCTGGCACACTAGCAACGTGTGGCTAGGGAACAATGAATCTTCTGGTGCGAAGACCACAGGCCTGACATGTCATGACTCTATGGTATTTGTGTCCTTGTCAGTGTTGATTTCTGATTGGGGGGAACCTCTGATTACTCAAATGTAAGCAGAGAGATTCTGCTGGACATGTTGAGTATGGCCCAAGTTTTTAAAAATTCATCATCTCTAACCAGAAACTGTTACATTTGTCTGTGGAGGTGGTATGGTAACAATGAAGCATATATGTCAACAGAGAACCACATGGGCAGCAGACAGATGACTAGGCAGTTGAAAGGAGAGGGTGTATGTCTCCCAGTCGTATTCCAGTAAGTCCACCATCTGGCCATCGTCCGAACAAAGCTGGAAAATCCTGAGCCAGATTATATTTCTTGAGTGTGTATTCTTGTCTGCTAGTAGATTGCCCCCTGTGATTAAGGCATCTTTCCCAAATTCAGAGTTCCAACAAGCCAACTGGGAGAATGATGAAATACAAGCACCACTGCCCAGAGGTAAAACGGGGCTCGAGAATTCTTAGTCACCAGCATCCTCTGGTAAGAATGAGTCACAAAATCTGGGGCACTTCTAAAGGGAAGGGCAGTAAGAAAGAAGAGAATCCTATTCAGTCCCTCTATACAGCTGATGCTATGAGAAAGGTCTCCATATCCGAAGGCGACAGAACCCATGAGGGCCGGGGGAAAGGAGCTCAGGGAAGCGTACGCACAGGTCTCACTCACCTGCACGTGCTGCTCTTTGACGCAGACCAGCACCTTGTAGATGCCAGGCTCCTTGGGGGTGTAGGAAACGCCGTACGTCCCGTCCTTGTTGTCTTGCACCATTGTTCTGACTGGACTGGACGGAGATAAGAGTCCCAAAAAGCCACTCACTCTCACAGCCTGCTTCAGTACCCACTATTGTAGGATGGAAACTACACCATTAAATTCGACCAAATTTTAAGTGTCCCCCAAACAGGGTGCTGCTTCCCCGTCTCAGAAATTAATTTCACAACAGAAGGAAGCAAAATAGATGCTAAAGTAATCTGCTGTGTGGATGAATTTCTTGAAGACCATATGGCTCTGCTGTGCCCTCCTGCACTTTGTCCTTCCCTTCCCTCACCGGAGCCACGTAGCTCGGCTCCCAATACCATTGAGTAGCCAAGAGGGGCTGAATTTTGAGAAGGGCACCATTCAGTCAAATATAGACTATTTTTCACTCTATTCAAAGCTTGGGACGAAGACAATCGGGCAGATCAGACCTTTGGGAGAGAACTGCATATAGGCATAAAGCCCACACAAGAAAACACATCTGGTCCAATTGGTCCTATCATTTTTAGCACCACAGGGAGGCAGACGGTAACCACTGCCATTACCACTCCACTATTACTTCAGACCTCAAGCTTCCAGTGTCGTCACCCAGGACAGATGACTGTGGTACAGACCTGTCTTTCTTATCTTTAGGGACAACTGCGACTTGAATGTTGTCTCCTCCCCTGCCCATGCTCTCTCCCGCTGCATCCTTGCAAAGCAGGGTGAAAGAGGCTGTCTGTTTCTCCCGGGCTCTGTGCAGATCTGCAAGAGAAACACGCAGTCCTCACCTCCATGGCCAATGCGGTGACTACCTCCCCAGCTCCAAGGAGTACCATCTCAGCTTTGTCTTCTAATAGGAAGAGCATGATCCTTGAGGTCCTGGGTGGTGACTACATTTCTCAACTGGAAAAGGACCAAGCCTCACGCCTGCAAGGGACAGTAACTGTACCCTGACCAGACAGATCGAAAGAAAAGGGCAAGGAAGGGGGTCATTGTCCTTTAGTAAACTGGCCAGTGGGGAGCTCCTCCTAGCTGAACAGAGGGAGGCCTTGATGAAAAGCTACACATCTTTAAACACCATGTCCCTGTCCACTGCCCCCTCGGTGCCAATGTCCCTACCTTTTCCTTGAAGAACACATTTGGCTGGATCGACCTCTTTGGTATTGATGGCGCCATAAACTTCATAGCCGCGGCACCGGCCCGCTTTCTCCTGAGGAGAGAAGCATATCTTATCGTTCACTCTGGGACGGGCACTGTACTCGACTTGGTTCAGCTTCGTGAGCCGCTCCACTACCACCCCCTTGGTGATGAGAATCTCCAGGTCACTGCCACTGGTCAGCAAGTGCTCGGTGAACTCCACTCCAGTGCGCATGTCTGCCAGCAGCTGCTCCAGCTGTGCCTTCTGCAGCTGCAGGGAGTTCTCCTGCTGGGCCCGTATGTCTTCCAGCTGCTTCAGCAGCTTGTCCCGGTGCTCTTCGATGGCCTTGATGTAGCCCTCGGAGAATGTTCGGATATCGGCTGCCACGGCCTCCACCCGCTGCTGGAGGGCACCGTTTGTCTCTTTGACCTGGGCCAGGGCTTCCTCCAGGGCCTCCACGCGGGGCTGGGTGTTTTTGAGGAGTTCCCGCACGGAGTCCCCATGCTTGTGGATAACGTTGCTGGTGAAGTCACAGGGGTGCTCCCGGTGCGCCCCCACCACGCAGTCTCGGCACACAGGCTGGTCGCACAGCTCACAGAACAGCCTCAGCTCCTCCGCAGGGTGAGCAGGACACAGGATGGCCTTCCCAACCCGGCTGTAGCCCTTCAGGTCTTTGAGGTCCACCATGGTGTGGTAAGTGGTCTTCTTCTGCCTCCTGGGGGCAAGCAGAGTCAGGGACAGGAAATGAGGGAACCGTTCTAGTTGGAAACAGCCCAGCAGTTGTAAGAGCATGGTCTCTGAAGTCAGACAAACCTGAGATCAGTTCCTTGCTCCAACCTCTGACTACATGATCCTCTCTGACCCCAGTCCCTCATCTGTGCAGTGGGGACAGTGCTACCTGAGAGGGCTGTTGTCCGGGATACATAGTAAACTAGGGCTCTCTGGCGCAGGACATGGCGTTGCAAAAAGGTTGCAGCACTAAGTCTACATCTTAGAACTTTCCCCAAAGAGTTAAACTGGCAAGTTTAGATAAGAGCCACAGCCTCCTACTCCAGCAAGCTAGAGGTGAGAGCAGGGTGAAAACCCAGCCCAAGAAACGACTGAGCCAAATGGCACGGCAGTAAACCCCGGGCCACCGAAAAGCAGCCAGCTGGCCCCAGAAGTCTCCCTCAGCTTTTATCTAAGGCAGTGATGGCGAACCTTTTGAGCTCAGCGTGTCAGCATTTTGAAAAAACCCTAACTTAACTCTGGTGCTGTGTCACATATAGAAATTTTTTGATATTTGCAACCACAGTAAAACAAAGATTTATATTTTTGATATTTATTTTATATATTTCAATGCCATTTAACAAAGACAAATCAACCAAAAAAATGAGTTCGCGTGTCACCTCTGACACGCGTGTCAGAGGTTCGCCATTACTGATCTAAGGTGTTGAGCATTTCCTTTGACCAGTGCCTATATCACCCAACGCAGCAAGCTAGAATTTCCCTCAAGAGTTATCAACATTAGAAAGAGTGAAATCAATGATCAGAATCAAAGCTCTTTGAATTCCTCTTCTCTGTAGCTCTCCAGAGATTCAGGGGAACTCCTGGGAAGCCATGGTGCCTGTTGGGGCAGAGGAGCGGCTGCAGAGAAAACAGGCTCAGCTGTTTAGCTGGCAGCAAGACAGTCAGAGTTACAAGTTAAAAATAGACCGGAGACTACTAACTTGTTCTGTGGGTGAGGCCAGAGAATAAATGGAAGGCAGAACTTAAAAAACTGCTTGACGCTAACCCTAAAACCCTGGTTATTTTTCATTCTGATGTGTTGGAATGAGCCCCGGGGTGCTCCCTGTGACTTCACCTTACACTGGGAAGGCAGCGTGGACTAGCAGAAAGCAGATCTGGATTTCAAAGTCAGTTGTTACATGTTACTTACCAACTGTGGGGCTGTGGCAAGTCACATATTGCGAAGCTAGTTCCTTCAATAAATAGGGGTGGAAGCAGTGCCTACTTTTTTAATAAGAGGTGCAAGGATCAAATGAGACTGAGGCAGGAGCCATGCTATTCTATTCATTCTCTTTCCCCAGCACCCAGTGCAATGACCCAGCATGCAAATGACTGATGAGCCAAGGACACCGTGAGCCTGCTTTGCAAACTGAGAAGGACTATGCAAGCCTTTGATGCTGTCATTACCACAGGTATTATCTAAGGCTGCAGGAATATACTACCATTCTGGAGTATTTGCTCTCAGACTGTAGGTTGCTCTTTGACCTCCCATGGCATTTGAGAAAACTTTCCTTTCCATTTGCTCACCAAGGAGGGATGTCTGTCTCGACACCTCTCTCTCCTCTGCTCATAAGCCACACGAGGTAGGGGTATCCCATCTTTACCTATGGGCCTGGCAGCAGAAATGGCAGAGATTGGCTTTGCAGGTCTGACACCTCTTCTCCACGTCCCTGTCGCTGCACAGGTCACACACCAGGCCCTGGCCTTCCCCACACAGACTCTCCAGCATCACATCGTTCATGGCCAGGTGGTCTATGGTTAAAGCTTTCACTCCACCCACGGGCAGGTCCACCTGCGCATCACACACTGGGCAGAGGATGCCGGTCTGCGGCCGCAGGGCCGGGTGGCTTGAGTTCCTGGAATAGTGACCCCTCAGAGCTTGTGTCAGCGTCTCCCCCTCGGATGTCCACTACTGAGAAGGGTTCCAGCTGCTCCAAACAGGTGGTGCAAACTGTGTGCAAACAAGGCAGGAGCCTGGGGGCTTGGAAAAGCCCCATGCACGAAGGGCAGTGCGTCTTGCTGGAGTTCCCAAGGGCAGGCCCACTGGGGAGTTTGCCCATGAAGCCCAGCAGCGGCTTCCTCTTTTCTGACATATTCCCCACGTTTATGCCCAGTATCAGAAAAGGCCCCGGGCAGCTCTGCAAGGAAGTAGTTGATTAAGCCCACCCAAAGCGAAAGCTCCCGGAACGTGAACAGAGACCATGGGGAACCGCTCTCCAGCAAGTCAAAGGGCAAACGGGGGGAGGATTCCTCCGAGGGAGGACCCGCAGCCCTGCTCAGGAGTGCCCCCTCCTCTCCATGGCATCCCATGCCAGACACGCCCACGCCCGCCTCTGCCCCCCAAATCCTCCCCGGAAGCGCTTCCAGGTCCAGGTCTGGCACTAGTCTCGCTGCTTCCTCCTGGACAGGGAGGGCCCTGCACCTCTCTACCCCCTCCCTCCCGCCCCACTGGTCCCGCACCCGACACGCGACAAGAGCCCCCCTCGCCCCCCCGTGATGAGGTAGGGGGCCTCCCGCTCCTTCCCCCGACCGGGTCCTGGGGGGAGGGCACACAGCGGGCCGGGACGTGGCGAGTCCGCACCAGCTCCTCGGCGGCCACAGCCTCCCCAGGTTTGGACCCCAGGTGCTGAAAGGCTCCGGCCCCTCCTCGCACCAATCCCAGCCCTCCACTCAGGAGCGTCCAATCACCGTCCGAGAGGGGCGGCCCGAGGCCCCCACCGCCCTCTAGATTGACACCACCAGCACCCAATAAGCTTTGGAAATCCCACATCGCCTGTCCACTCAGGCGGGGAGGGGAGAACCAAACTGAGGGGCGGGGCGGGGCGGTGGGAGGGCTCGGGCCTCACTGGGAGGAAAAAAGCAAAGCGGGGAGTGAGCGGCATAGTAGAGCCAGCGTCACCATTTTACGGGGATTGTCCTCTTTATCTCTGTGGTGACAGAGAGGCCAGAGGACCACTTGATAGGCCTCGGGGATGGCCTCCTTGGCGCCCTCAGATTGGACCCACAAACCCAGGCTGGGCCCTCCCATTGGTGGGTGGAGCTGTCAGTCAGCCCAGGGCATGCTGGGAGTTGTAGGACGAGACGTTTTCCTGTTTCCGGATGCGGCGACGGAAGTTTCCCCTCAGGCCTAGTGTGCCCGCTGCGAGGGCCTCTGCAGCTCGCTGGCGCCGCATTTTCTGAGACGAAGGGCCCCTCAGTCCCTGGTTCTGGGACCCGATCCCCTGGGGCTGGAGAAGCCGCTGTTGCACCCAATACGGCCAGGGGTGAAAACGACCTGTTTGTCGCCCAGAATGCTACAGTTACGCGTAACAGAAACGGAGCAGGTTTGTCCCGCTGGTTTATCAGCCCCTCCAGGAGGGCCCGCGACTGCTCACTATGGGAGAGTGGAGGATGTCAAGGAGGGTAGAAATCAGCCCTTGGTGGGCGCACAAGCTAATTGGGCCGATGAACTCACGGAACCCCCTTTATAATTTGTCTCCTTTAGTAGTGTCCTTACCAGCCGTCTCCCGGTTCGGCCATGTGGGCCTTTGCTGTCCTGGGATCTGGCACCGCTCTCCCCAGACTCCACAAGTGGCAGCCCCAGCTCCTCACCTCCGCCTTCTGTCTCCAGCCGCTTACCCCTGTCGAGTGGGTTCCGTCCTCTTTGCTCTGTGCACGGCCTTTCCTACCGGATTTGCGCCCAGTGAACCGCTGTTGCGTTGATGTCTTCCTCATCCATATCTACTCGAGGCACAGTGCCTAGAGCACAAGCGTTGAAAAATAAGGAAATCTGGAAAACAACCACAAGAAACTTGTCGACTCCAAAATATGAAGAAAAAAAATAACTATTTACAAAACTTAGAAATGTTTAGCCATTTCCAAAATAGATACAACATGTCATGGCCATGAGTCCAATGCCACTTCTATAGGGGGAGGCAAACGGAGGTTTGCAGTTCGTATGGAAAAATAATACAATAATGAATAAGTAATAATACCAAAGTAAGCTGTTTCCTATACTCAGCTGTAAACCCACGTTTGCCCCCACCTCGTATATAAAAATGACACGCGATTTCCAAAAGTAAGCATGCCTACAAAGGTCTTAAAGTAGTCCTTACCTAGATTTCTTCACCTGCCCTGACTCAGAGTCTGCTGTCTCCATCCCCGTGGGCTGGAGTTAGGTGCAGACTTGGGTTTGCTATATATCCCAGCCTGAACTTCACCTTCACCTGATGCTTGGTGATGCTTCATCTCTTATTCATGCCCTATTCCATCTCCCAGGTGGCTGTTTGAGCTTCTCTTGTTTAAGAAGTACTTTATAATTTACATTAGCATTATCTTGTTCAATCCGTTAACGATTCTTTGAGGGAAATCTCAGAGAAGTCTGGTGGTCAGCCCAAGGTAATACATCTGAAGACTTGAACTCAGCCTTATAATGCCTTTTTAAAAAAGATTTTACCCCAACCACCTCTTTCTTTCCTTTCCCAGGTTCTTAAGCATCTCAGCAGATTCTTAAAAATTTAAATATTTTAAAGATAAAGTATTTAGCCTTTAATTGAGAAAAGGAAAGCTATTTGGAGAACGCCCTTACCTTCTACTTAAAAACCTGATGTCATATACCTCCTTTCATACCCCTCCTGCCTTTCTTCTATTGCAAGGGTAACCCCTCAAGACCTTTGCTCTTTAATCCCAGCCTCTCCTGCCTCCTCAAAACCTTGCTGCTTCTATATTTTCAATCTGTTCTTTAAAAAAATTGTTTTTTCTTTTTTTTTTTTAAATATATTTTACTGATTTTTTACAGAGAGGAAGGGAGAGAGATAGAGAGAGTTAGAAACATCGATGAGAGAGAAACATCGATCAGCTGCCTCCTGCATATCTCCCACTGGGGATGTGTCCGCAACCCAGGTACATGTCCTTGACCGGAATCGAACCCGGGACCTTTCAGTCCACAGGCCGACGCTCTATCCAATGAGCCAAACCGGTTTCGGCAAAAAAATTTTTTTCAATGC